CAGTAGTCATTTGAAATTGAAATTACAGAGATTCTTCTGTGTTCTGTGTTCAGYCAATTGAGGACTTAAAAGCCACGTTTTTGCTTATAAACTCTGTAATTTTGTTCATTCTCTGACCCCCCTCCACTCCAGATTTTCCACTTCCCTCCATGGGTGGGGTATGGATGTTTTTTGTAACTACACAGTACATTCTTTTGGTAATTATCATTGATATTGTATTTTGTTTCAAGACTTTAGGTGATGCTCGACAGTTGTTAAAATATTTTGACAAAAGTCTTGGAGAACCATTACCAGAGACATTGTACTGCGATGATTGTTCACTCTATACTCCTGGCCATCCAGATGGTCCATTTCATAACTTCATGGTAATTAATCATTATCAGGACGCTATTTCGCTAGGATTCACGTCATGTACAGAATGCATTGTGACTTCAAGGGCTGTTTTCAAAGCCATTCATCAACGTGTGCCACTCATCTTTTGTAGTGATCCTTTGTATGCTTAATTGTGCACTTGGATGAGAATGCCCCAATTTTTGAAAGTCCAAATAATTGAAGTATTTGAGAATAGTATGACTCGATTAGGATTATGAAAACCAGATCAGTGAAAATTTTAGCCTGGGAGCCACTTGCTGTTGAGATATTTTGGGCCAAAAGGGAAAAGAATAATAGGGTTGAGTAAATGACGTCATTTACTCACAATTTAGATGCTGGATAAAATTGAGAATTTTCCCCCGCCACTTTTGACTGTGAAGGAAACCTGTTGCTTGGCTACTATCTGCGCAATATAAATAAGTTTAAACAAGTCATTTCCAATTTTCATTGATTTTCATCCCCTTTAATTCGTTTCGGAGCTATATAATGCTTGTCATTCGCTTGTCAACTGGTTTTGTTTTTGTTCAGGAAAAGTGTGACTTTTTTGTGTTCTGCCACTTGATTGGATGGTGGGCCAAGGTATGTACTGTACGCTGCTTAATTTAATAATATTTAATTTAATGATATCTAATAATTTAATAATATTTAGATTTAAGTTACCGTATGTGACAGAGTCAAAAGACACTATTTTGGACAGTAATTATTTAGWCATAAATCTATATTTTTAATTAGGAATGCCTCGTGTACACATAGGAATGTAATTCTTTAGTTAACTGTTTGCGTGGAAAATGCGTAAGCAAGAAATAATTTCCGTACGTAATTACATTACAG